TTGGAATAACTAGGAAAAATTGGGAGATAAAGCTAAAATCATAGACAGAATCAGTTTATGAAGGACCTTGTATGCTAGTTTAGAGAATTTAGACATTTTCTTGAAGACATGGGTAACTATTAAGGAGTTTTAGGCAGGTAGTTTATATGATCGCTGTCATGCTTTAGAAAGATGAATTTGGTAGGGATGTAAATGATGGGCTAGAATAAAGAAGGAGAAAAATAACTAGAAAGCAAGGGAATGAATTAAGATACCATTGTAGTTGTCTAAACTAGAGGTTATGAGAATCAAAATTAACTTTTTTCCCAAACACTATTCCTGGACATAACCTTATTCTAGTATCATTACTTCCAAATATCTCCACCCCAAGTGGAGGCTGAATTAAGACAGCACAGTAGTTGTGTAAACCAGAGATAATGACAGATCTGAATTATGGATGTCTTAATGAGAACAGGGAAAAGAAATGTAGGGATGTGTTCCATGATCTTTCCAGAAGGCACATTAAAAAGGGGGTAATATGAAGGGCCGCCCCTGGTGGCGCAGCAGTTGGGCACTGGGCTACGAAGCTGCCCTCAGCCTCTGCAGCACTGGTTAGGTCCCTGGCCTCCACTGAGGGTCCCACATGGCTCACAGACCTCTCCTGCCGCACCTGCTGCTCCCCTTAGCAGTGTATTTCGTCAGTCTGCCTGTTCTGTTCCCCGCTCTGGCTCTGGTGAATTCTCTCACCCTCCCGTGCTTCTGACTGTACCCAGTGCTTGTATGAATAAATAAATAAATCTTTAAAAAAAAAAAGGGGGTAATATGAAGCAATGCTTTTCCTGGAGAAATTGTGTTCTGAGTGCATCTCAGCAAATGGTAGTACTTTTCAGCAAATAAAGTAAAATTCAAGTTTCATTTAAGGCTTTCTCAAAATTTAATGTGCATACAACTAACCAGGCAGAGCTTATTAAAACGCAGATTCACTGCAAAGAGCTGATGAGACTCAACAACAACAAAGAAAATAATCCAGTCAAAAAATGGGCAGAAGAGCTAAAAAGAAACTTCTCTGAAGAGGAAATGCAAATGGCCAACAGGCATATGAAAAAATGTTCAACATCACTTGTCATCAGGGAAATGCAAATCAAAACTACCATGAGATACCATCTTACACCAGTGAGAATGGCACATATTAAAAAAACTAGCAACAACAAATGTTGGCGAGGGTGTGGAGAAAAAGGAACTCTTCTGCACTGTTGGTGGGAATGCAAACTGGTCCAACCACTATGGAGAGCTGTGTGGAGATTTCTGGACCTACTAAACATAGAGCTTCCATATGATCCAGCAATTCCACTCCTAGGTATTTACTCAAAGGACACAGAAACATCCATTCCAAAGAGCACCTGCACCCCTATGTTTATAGCAGCACTATTTACAATAGCTAAGCTTTGGAAACAACCCAAATGCCCAAAAATAGATGACTGGATCAAGAAGATGTGGTACATATATACCATGGAATATTACTCAGCATTCAAAAAAGATAAATACATGCAATTTGCAGCAACATGGATGGCGCTGGAAGGAATCATGCTCAGCGAAATAAGCCAGAAAGAAAAAGAAAAATACCGGATGGTCTCACTCATAGCAGGAATCTAGAAAACTTAAATAAGGGACCAGGAAAATGAATAACTATAAGAAAGTGAAAATCAAAATCAATAAAAAGCTATGAACCAGAGACACTTTTTGGGGGGTGGGGGGCGGGAGGGGAGGGATTGGGTCAGAATGGGGGGGTTGCAATTGTATGGGGAATATAAAAATAAAATCTATTATTTAAAAAAAATTGAAGCAATAAACTCATACTCAAAAGAAAAAAAAATGAAATGCAGATTCATTAGTCCTGCAGTGGGAAGGGAGGTTCTAATGGCTTACAAACCCCCAGGTGCTGCTGGTCTGAAGAATATAGTTAGAGTAGCAAAGTATAGCTATTTTTGGGGAGTGGGTCAAGAGAAGATGACTTGGTTATTGAAGTAAAAAGGTACAGAAGGCACTAGGTGAAGGCTCTGGACTTTAAAAAAGAGAGACTTGAAGTGGAAAGGAGGTACTGAGAGCAGAATAAGATAATGTCTCTGGAAAAGTATTTGGAAAAAAGTTTAAAAAATCCAATAGTCCATGGCGGAGCATCAACATTGAAGAGGTGGTTGGAAGATGAGGCTTAATGTCAAGAAGTAGCAGTTGAACCTAGGATGCCAAATTTTCAACAAGAAGACTTTAATTCTCAAAATTAAATGAATGACAAGTACCATTTGAATATTCTATTCTTGGCATTGTATTTTTTAAGATTTATTTATTTATGCATACAAGCACTGGGGTATAGGGCAGAGGTATTTGGCATGAGAGGATCCACCAGAGACAGAGTGGGGAACAGAACAGTTGGATTGACTGAAATACACTGCTGAGGGGAGCAGTGGGCAAGACAGGAGAGGTCTGCTGCACCATGTTGATAACTGCCTGGCTGGGCATGGTTCTCGTGCTGCAGTGGCTGTGGATATCTTCACAGGTTGTGTCTTAACCCCTTGCGCCACCAGGGAGGGACCCTCTTCTTGGCATTGTATTAAGTGGTTCAAGTTTTCAATAATGAACAGGATGTAAGAAATATTATATTAAAATTTTTCTTTAATCACATTCCTCTGAGCTGGTGAAAATTTAATCTGGACCATTATTAGGAGCCTACCCATCACACACAGGGTTGTATAAAAGTTCTGGGGTTTTATTTGGTGAAGGTCTTCAAGTCATCACTCAATGTTGCCTACCAATATGCTCATTTCCTTCAGTTCATTTATTATTTGCTAGTGAGTTACTTTGCTAATTGAATGCCAAGTTGGGATGTGAAATCATGGTGGTTGGACAGCCAATTGTACAGCCTACTGTACAGCCTCCCTGATGCTGCTACACATGCATTCTCATCTAAGGTCATGCTCCCTCTCATGCCCTTTAGGTTCCAATAGACACAGAACCCGCAATCCTCCTTTACCGTTATGCCTTTTGGTTGCCACTTATTCAACCACGCTCAAAAGCCTTGAACTCTTTCCATTGCGTGAAGAGAGAAGTCCCTCAATGGGAAAGGTGTTTTGTTATAATGGGACCTTATACTGTGTCCTGGGGCAAGGAAAGTCCCATATTTGATGCCACACCTATGAGGTAGTATCCAATCATTCTCTGATATCCTTTCACATCACCAAGAAGAAAAATTAATATCTCAATATCTTTTTAAAAAAGATTTATTTACTTATGCATATAAGAACTAGGGTACAGGCCAGAGATGCAGGGGGTGAGAGGATTTGTTAGGGGGAAGTGATGTCCTGAGTTAATCCCATACAGGCTTTGTGGACTCCACCCCCACTCCAGATTAAAGCCATCAAGACTCTGGGAAAGACAAATCCCATCACCACCAAGGGAGGGTGGCTGGGACCTGAGGGTGGAGTTGGGCAGCCAGGTTGGATATAAAAAAAACAAACACGGGGGCCTTGCACTCTCTGGCTCGCGATCGCTCGCCTCCTGGCTTCACCGCTCCTGGCTGGCGGCCAGCTCTCAGAGCACCATTTTGGGATTCCTGATCGGCGGATCGGGTAGGACTCATTTAAAACTTTGTCTCCCACTTTTCTCCCAGAGCTGTACATTTCCTCATTTCCCCTTCCCTTGTAAATAAACCTTTTATTAACCTTTCACGTGTGCCTGCAGTAGAGCATTGATAAGTCCTTTTAAGCGTGCGGGTGAGGACCCACAGTCAGGCACCCCGTTTTGTATCGGGGTTGCTCTACAACAGATTCACCAGAGACAGAGTAGGGAACACAACAGGCAGATCTACTGAAATACACTCCTAAGGGGAGCAGCGGGCAAGACAGGAGCGATCTGCTGTGCCATGTGGGTCACCTCCCTGGCCGGGGATCAACTATTGCTGCAGTAGCTGTGGATTTCTTCATAGTGCTAATGCTTAATACTCGGCGCCTCCAATATCTCAATATCTTAAATCATCTTACCATACATGCATTGTTCCATGAGGTCCCTCCAACTACTCAATGCGTAATCTAATTTTCTAGCTTGAGGGCCTCCCTGGTGGTGCAAGGGGTTGGGCAGAGCGCTGTGAAGCTGTCCAGTCTCTGCTGCATGAGTTAGATTGCCGGCCAGCCAGGGAGCAACCCACATGGTGCAGCAGACCTCTCCTGATTTGCCTGCTGCTCCCCTCAGCAGTGTACTTCAGTCAATCTGCCTGTTCTGTTCCCTACTCTGTCTCTGGTGAATCCTCTCATCCCCACACCTCTGGCCTGTACCCCAGTTCTTGTATACATAAGTAAATAAATCTTAAAGAAAAAAGCAGCTCTTAGTCCTTCATTATTAAAAAAAAAATTCTGTATCTTGAAACTTGGAGGGAAGTTATAAACTTGTTTCGGGTCACACAGTTAAGGAACTGTGAAAGAGCTATGAGGTAAGCATGCTGGAATCTAGAGCAAAGGGGCGTGGCAGTATCGCAGTTCCTATCACAGGATTTTGTTCAAGGTCATGACAGTGACCAGACTCAAACAAGAAACCTCAAAGGAGAAAAGTTTCTGTATCTTAGACGGCTGTCTTTACCACAAGCCTAGTATCCCAGTTTTACAGATGAGAAACTGAAGCCTAAGTGACTTGCCTACAGTAGTCACAAAGCCAGTATACTGTTTGCTGGCTCCCAATACACTGTTTTTTTTTGCATCACGTCAAACTGAAATGCTCTAGGGACGGTTTAGCGTCTCCATCCCAAGCAAAACCCAAGAAAACGCTACTACAGATTCCCTGCTGGGAAAATAAATTGGCACATGCGCACTACGCGCCAGAGACTCCACCCAAGAGACCGCCGCGTCCTCTTCAGCACGCATGCGCCAGACGCCTCTCCCAGCCCCTCCCACCACACGCCTCGGCGTTCCCGCCACTGCCCGCCCCTTTCCCGCCCGGATATCAGCCGAGTTTTGCCGGATGTTGTTGTGTCTCAGAGACACGTGAGACACTGCTACGTCATCACAGGCACGCGCAGGAAACATGGCGGCGGTGGGTGTTGTGAGCGGGAGGGTAAGTAACGGCCCTGCGGAACTCTCCTGCGTTTTCTCCGGGGTGGGAATGTTTGCGCTGCTTGGCGGAGGGCCGGGGACGGACCTGAGGGTCTTTATGGCCCGTGGACAGCGTGTGGCGGATGTAGGAGAAGCGGACTTGGTGGTGTCAGCTGTTTTCTGGAGAACGCCGGCTAACCTGGGAGCTGGAGACCCGGCTTCTGCTCCAAGGCCAGCTAGGCCTCGGTGCTGTTCCGATCGGCTTTGCCCCTGGGGGAGGAGACTGTATTTACATTACCTTTTCTGAGATACAGGTGGTTGCCTGGGTCTTTTCTTTTTCAGGCTTACTTTTTAAGGTGCTGTGGCCTTGCATTCCTCTGCTTTACTGTGTGGTAAAGGCATCTTTGTCCTCTTGGGGAGTAGCTGAAAACAGGTGCTGTGCAGCTGTGCTCTTAGAGGAAAGGAGTGAATTGATGCATTTTACCAGATTGCCGAGTTGGTTGGTGGTTTTGAACAGCAGGGCAAGTTTCCAGCCAAGGAGCGGGAGATTTACACCATCCTACTTATGTTATAGGGCAGGGAGGGGGGCACCCCAGACTCCGCAAAGCTGCCTGCTCTAAATATAAAGAGGTTCTGCCATCTGCCGCATCAGGAAACCTGGAACCTCCCCCTTTCCTGGGGACCACCCTGTTACACTTACTGTTGTCAAGGAAGGCGTTAGTGGAGGTATTTATTTCCTAGACATCTCTGTGGTGTTGTCTTATCGAAGTGGTAATGACCCCTTCTTTGTTAGGGGCCAGCATAGGTGCGAAGGAGATTTCGTCGTGTAGCGCCTGTTCCTAGGGCATCTTTGGAGGGAATGTCTTCATGCTTTGTGTTTAGGACAATCGTGACATGCCACTGGCAGCATGTCGCATTTCTAGAGTTATTTCGTTAACAGTTGGGTCTGGTAATGACCCCTTCCAACACATTAGGACTGTTTGCTTGTCCCAGATCGCTCCATCTCTTCCTTGAGTTTCACTAATTTTCTTGTTGCTGCTCTCCCCATCCTATTTTGAATTACCTGACATTATTTATGGTTTGGTGTATGGACTAGTAGGCTGGGCGGCAGAATAACAAATCTAGTATTGGCTTCGATGTTACTCTGTAGTGTGACCTTGGCAAGTTGAGCAAGCGTGACTTTTCTGTCCTTCATATTCTTTATCTCCAGAATGAAGGTGATGTCAGTCATTGTTTCTTCTGTTGGCGTTGTAGATTACATGAAATAATAAAAGCCTTAGAGAAGTACTACATATGTAAATATATAGAGACTATTTATCATGGGCCCACAGCTTTTCTGTGGGCCTGTGCCTACACAGGTCTTGTTGCCAACTTTCTCCCTTTGCAGGGCAGCAGCTCTCCTGCCCTCCTGTGACTATCAGGAACTTCTCCCTTTGCAAAGCATCAGAGACAGTTCTCCTCCCAAGCCTGCCTGTCTGTGACTATTCAGGCCTCTCTTTTAGCAAACCTGTCTCTTTCCGGGCTGTTCTTTCTGCCTGCTTGTGTCTGGCAGAAAGAACTGCCCCTAAAGTGTACTTTGCTCCCCTCTCCCTTTTTATAATAAACCTGCCCTTTTGAATATATATATATATATCAAAAAAATGATAGGGTTTTCATCGTTTTTATATTACCATTCCTCCTTGGTTGTCTTATCAGTTTCTTTCTTCATAGTGAATGCTGTTTTTCTATTTGACTCATTATATATTTGAAAGTTATTCTGTTTGATTTTCCATCTGGATTGATCCAATCTCGGATTTTCCAAGAAGGTATCCTTTCCTTTTGAATTTTATTTCCCTACTTCAGATTTGGATTGGTTTTGAAGGAACCACAATGATGATGGAATTGTGAAATGTGAGATTTTTTCCACCCATCCCTTCTAGCCACTATCTTTCATGTTCTGACTTAGTCTTTTACTTTGTAACTACTTCATCTCATTTATCCTCCAGTCACGGAGTGGAGAGAAAAGGGAAGTAAAATAGAGGTAGAAAAGGTAGGTAGACTTAAAATAGTGATTATTAAATAAGCTGAATGCTTTAACGGGGTACAGTTTGGCTGTAAGTTTTCTAGCAGCCACAGTAAAGAGGGTAACCTGATTATTTAAAAGAATTATAGGATCCAAGGTAAAACAAAGACCTAAAAAAACCTATTTCTTGAGATTAGACCAGGATAGTAGTCTCCTGTGGTTTCTTCATGCTATGCAATATAATGAATCTGATTATATGATATATTGGGTCCTTTTTATTAAAAAGAAAGGGGGGGGCACCTAAAATGCATCTCAGTATGCTGATGGTTTCAGTAAATACAAGTACAATTCTCTGATAACTGAATTCAAAGATAGGTTTCTAAGAGTGTAGATGAATGAATTCCCTTTTGCCTATATATTGTTTTTCTTAGCTGAGTTTTTGAAAGTGAGTTTGAATTTGATCATCAATTCTGATTAGGGCCTCTGGTGGTGCAGGGGTTAAAGTCTCAGTGCTGTCAGGCTATTGCCAGCCACTGCAGCACGAGTTCGATCCCCAGCCAGGGAGCTAACCCACATGGTGTAGCAGACCTCTCCTGTTTTGCCCGCCTGCTGCTCCCCTCAGCAGTGTATTTCAGTAGATGTGCCTGTGCTGCTCCCTGCTCTGTCTCTGATGAATCCTCTCACCCCTCACACCTCTGGCCTACACCCCAGTTCTTGTATGCATAAATAAATAAAAATAAATCTTAAAAAAATTCTGATTAGTTCTTGGATTTCAGCTGTTCTTTATTACTTTATATGTGTAGAAACATACTTTATCAGCCAACTGAATTGGGAGAGAGTAACATCCTTTTTGTGCTATGAGGGGAGAAATACGGACACTCCCCATGAAGGTCATCCTGCTTCTTCTCTAACAGGTGAAAAGAGATGAATTAATGGAAAGAGTTCATTTTGTTTATTGGGGATGAGAGTAACCTGAAATAGATTTTTTTAAAAGATTTTTTAAAATTTATTTAATGCATACAAGAGCTGCAGTGTAGGCCGGAGGTGTGGTGTGTGTGTGTGTGTGAGAGAGAGAGAGAGGGGTTCACCATAGACAGAGTGGGGAGCAGAACAGGCAGATCTACTGAAATACACTGCAGAGGGGAGCAACAGGTAAGACAGGAGAGGTCTGCTCTGCCATGTGGGTTAGTTCTCTGGCCGAGGATTGAACTTGTGCTACTGTGACTGCTGATAGCTTCGTAGTGCTGAGACTTAACCCCTTGCTCCACCAGGGAGGCCCTGAAATAGAGTTTGATCTTATATCAGTGTACCCTGATGGTTGTAGTTTACTTTCACTCGTTTATTCAACAAGTGTTAAGTATCTACTTTGTTTCAGGTACTATACCAGCGTTTGGGATATATCAAGTAGCCCCTTTGCTTGGAGCTTATAGGTCTCAATTCTTCAGTAGGAAAACATTCCCTAGCAATGATCCCTTTACCTTAGCTAAATAAAAAATGAGTGTAAGTTGAGTTTCAACTTCTTAAGGTAGGTGCTGTTTTTGATGGAATGAAATCTATTGTATTGTACTATAATGTGTTTGTAGTCTTTGGCATAAGAGAATTCATTCATTTAGTCCCAGTTGTACCTCCCCAGATTGCTCAGTTATTCCTGCCCTCTTGTTTGACCTTGTTTGGTATACTGATGTCCTTAAGAAGTATTAATAGTTCTAGTGCCAGTTCTTCATTGAGGTTCTCTGTATCTCACTATCTCTATATGTTCATTCTCAGAATTTCTATGATGTTACACTTAAAACCACCTATGTATTACATTTCCTTCCTTCTAATCATTACTGTTTAGCATGTCCCAATTAAAACTCATTGTTTACTTTCTTCCTTCTGTTTTCCTTTGTTTTTCGGAATTCCCCATCTCGGTGAATAACCTCATCCATTCAGTTTTGTCCTTGACTCTTCCCCCCTTTCTCTTCTATATCTAATTAGTCATGAAGTCCTATTATTTCAGCCTTCTAAATATGTTTGTACGCCATTTACTTTTCCTCATCACCAGTGTCAATGCCTTAGTTTAAGTCACCATGAATCTCCCTCCTTAGATTACTGTAGCTGTACAGTCTTTGCTTTGCGATCAGTGTGTTAGCTTAGAAAAGGAAAGTCTCTACATGGCATGCTACAGCTTTTTTTTAAACTTGTGTGTAAAAGGTCTAGGGTATAGACCATAGGTGCAGGGGTTGAGAGGCTCACTGGAGACAGAGTGGGGACCAGAACAAGCAGACTGACTGAAATACACTGCTGAGGGGAGCAATAGGTGAGAGAGGAGAGGTCTGCTGCACCATGTGGGTAGCTCCCTGACTGGCCGGAGATCAAACTCGTGCTGCAGAGGCTGCAGATAGCTTCATAGTGCTGTGCTTAGCCCCTTGAGCCATCAGGGAGGCCGTATTTTATTTATGCATACAAGAATTGGGGTGTAGGCCGGAGATGTGGGGGGTAAGAGGATTCATCAGAGACAGAGTGGGGAGCAGAGCAGGCAGTTAGTACTCTGCCCAATACTCTGTGAATTTTGAAATTTCCCACTTTGGTGGGATCAGCTCTTTCTGAACCTGCAGATCCTTTCTACAATTTCAAGTGGCTTTCTAGTTGCTTTGGGTAGTTTACTCATACGCATGCACCATTCACTACTCTGCTGAATATTCAGGGACCTCTGTGGATCTCTTGAATTCTCTATCTGTACACTACTCATTTCTCTGGCACTCTGTCCTGTGAACTCTTGCTCTCTTGGCCTTCCTTGATTCCCAACTTTATTACCTCAATCCAGAAGCACTTTCTTGTTTTTTTTTTTTTTTTTTCTATCATTGCCACAGTGGGAAACTCTCCAGACTGTAAGCAGGGCAATTTAGGACTCAGCTCATTTGTTTCCTTTCACTTGGTAGTCACTCCCCTTCTTGGTTCAAAGAATATCAGTTTGATAGACTTACTCGGGGTTGTTTTTTTTTTTTTTTTTTCTGGTTGAAGATTAAATCCAGTTTCTG